AGGCCGATCAGCTCGTCGCGGAGAGCCTGCGCCTCGTCCAGGGTGTCGGTTCCCGTCAGGATGTCGTCCACGTATGCGTCCTGCCGCAGCGCTGCCGCAGCGCGAGGAAATCGCTCTCCTTCATCCTTCGCCAGCTGCCGGATTGTGCGTATCGCGAGGAATGGCGCGCAGGTCAGGCCGTAGGTGACCGTCTGCAGTTGGTATTCCTGCAGCTCAGCGTCAGCCGTCGGCCGCCATATTATCCTCTGCAGATCTCGATCGTCGGGATGCACCAAGATCTGGCGGTACATCTTCTCGATGTCAGCGGCCAGCACGAATTGATGCCTCCTCCATCTCAGGAGCACATCACTCAGCGCTGGAAGCAGATTGGGACCCGCGAAGAGGTGAGCATTAAGCGAGTCACCGGAATTGAGGCGCGATGACCCGTTGAACACTACTCTGATTCTTTTCTCTGGTGCAGCTTCCTTGAGTACGCCGTGATGCGGGAGATAGCATGTGCGCGCGCGCTCGACCTCCGACGGCGGGGAGACTGCTAGCATGTGGCCGAGCGTCTCATACTCTCGCATGAAGGTGCAGTAGAGCCGATGCAAGTCCGGGTCTTTCGCAAACCGGTGTTCCATGCAGCGAACCAGCCATGCGGCCGTGCGCTGCGTCTCGCCGAAGTCTGGCAGCGTCGTGGTAGTCGGGAGGCGCACGACGTACCGTCCCTCAGGCGTGCGGCGGAGCGATGAGACATAGAATGTCTCGCAGCGTTGCTCGTCCTCCGTGAGCGGCGTGGAACTGGTCGGTGGTTCTTCCTGGCTCCAGAATTGACGCACCAGTCCCACGAGGTCCTCGTCTACTTGGCAGTGATGGGATGATGCCTCCCCGGACCTTGCTGCGCCGTCGACTTCGCCCAGGAGAATCCACCCGAATGCCGTGCGCTGAGCCATTGGAGCGCCGGGGCCGCCTTTGCGTACTTCTCCTTCCATTATTGCGGAATACTCCTTCACCCCCAGCAGCAGCTCCACTGGGTCGCTCGCTCCATAGTCTGGGTCGGCGAGACACAGATCCTGGACGTGGGGCCAACTCTGAGTCGTGGCCGGCACGCAGGTGTTGCTCGCAGTAATGCGGGGGAGGATCAATGCGGAAATTCGCATTGCAAAGTCGGAGTTGCGCGACTTCAGCTCAAGGGGCGTGCCCCGCAGCCTGCCGCTTCGCCGCCCGATGACACCGGAGATGGACATAGAAGTGGCGCGACGAGGGAGATGCAGTCGCTGCACCAGCGCCTCGTGGACGAGCGACACCTCAGATCCCGGGTCGATGAGCGCACGGACTGCTTGTAGCTCGCCATGTCTGTTCTTGACGTGTATGCGTGCGGTGGCCAGGAGGCCAGCGGCACTATCTTCTTCGTGGTGGTAACTCACGTGTAGCGATGTCGCGATAGCTCCACTGGCTGCCGACGTTGTTGAACAGGCTTCGTGAAGCGTGGAGTGATGCCTCGCGTTGCAGACCATGCAGTTCTTCGCAGATCGGCACTCGGCTACAGGATGCTTGCCAAGGCAGTTCAGGCAGAGGCTGTTTTTCTCCACGCACTCCTTCCTCTGCGCCGGCAGCCTCTTGCGGAACTCAATGCACAGGAGGATGAAGTGATCCTTTTGACATAGTGGGCACCGACCTCCTTTCTGCTGCTTCTGCGCCAGGTTGGCGCGCGCCGACCTTGAAGACGCGCTCGCCGACCTGGAGGCAGAAACGGATGCGGGCTCCTGCTTCGCAGGATGCAACGCTTCTAAAGCTCGCAGGCGGCTCTCGAGGAACGCTCTCAGCTCATCATACGAAGGCGGATCTCGTGAATCGCAGATTGTGTCCTCCCACTCGCGTCTGGATCGAGGATCTAGCATCTCGATCACTGTGTGGACGAAGTGGTCGTTGTCGTATGCTGCCTTGCGACCGATGCTTTCCAACGTGCCAGCCGTCTGCAGTATGCAGTTGACCAGCTTCTTCAAGTCGGCGACGGACTCATTCTTCATTTTAGGCGTTGCGGAGAACGACGAGAGGCACGAGCGCACAAGGACTCGCCTGTTTTCGAACCGATCCTCGAGGATTGCCCATGCTCGTCGGAAATTGCCTTCCGTTGTCGGCAAATTGCGAATTCGATCTTCGGCTTCACCTTGCACTCTTGTTTTCAGGTAGTGCAATTTCTCCACATCTGCCAGCGAAGGATGGCGATCCAGCATCGACAGGAACAGGTCCCTGAACGCTGGCCAATCCTCAATGCGACCGGAGAAATGTGGAAGCTCGATGTTGGGCAGCTTCCGCTGCGACGCGGGCTCCGAAGCTGCTATCATCTTTCGCTCCGCTCCGCTCTCCGGCTTGGAGCGAAGGGAATGCAGCAAATCCAGCAGAGTTGAGCGCTGGTCCATCACCCTGTCTTCGACCGTGACAATCCAGCTCGACTTGAAGTAGTCGTGGTCAGCGAGCACCTTCTTATGTTTGGAGCGCAGCTCTTCGTGATTGAGCTGGAACTTATCCCAGTTTGCCTCCAGAGTCTGGAGTCGCGACTCCACACTGCCGATTGAGATTTTTGACGCTCCTAACTTTTTCAGGTTTTCTTCGGCGCGGGCTATGCGACCGTACAGCTCGGACTGAGCGTCAAGGACACTTTCGGCGTCGAGGCTCATTGCGCGAGTTAAGTCAACGTCACGCCCTTCGCACCAGGATTACCGTCACCGCGACACTCGTGTTCACTCACCACTCGCTCGGATGTGCACGATCCGGCTCGAAGGACCAAAATGTTTAGAGTGAGGTGGAACGAACACCAGAATATTATAAAGAATAAAGAAATGTTCAAAATATACTGTTCACAAAAAGTGTTTAATGAAATAAAACAAAGCACAAAAAAGAATATATATATATATGTAAAGTAATTAGACACAAAAAAAAATAGAAAGTAATTGATGCAGTAAATTCTTATTAACTGCACGTTGCAGCGGTGCGATATTGGCGAGAATACTAAGTGCAATTTTGGCGCGAACTCGAAGCTATATTTTTGGCACGACTCGAAGCTGCGGCGTACTTAGAGGCACTGAGGGTGCGACTTCAAGAGCGTGGTGTGTCTTTAGGTTTCGGCGGACCTTGGGAGAAAAAAAAGAAAAACACGTCAGTTCTCTCGGGGGAAAATAATGGTCTCTCTCGATTTCGCTCGGCGATGTTGTTAGGCGGCAACGATGCCCTTGGTCGAAGACAAGAGGCGCGTTTTGTTATGATTCGCAAATTTATTTTTCGCCGCTGTTTGGCTCTCGACAGATTTGCAGAGTTTTGACCATCTCGCAAAAAACACAAACAGCGCGCGGACTGCGTGATCATTTCCGCAACACAACAATTTAGTTAAAAAATATTTACAAAATAATTACTATAAATATTTATCTTTACATACCATAAATATGAAATATTTAATCTATGTTTTAATAATATGTTAAATAAAAGTTTTTATAAGACATTTTCAAAATATTTATATAATATTTGAAAAAATATATATTCATAAATATTTATGAATTTTTATCATAAATATTATGTGCTGTCTGGGATAGAATTTATTTTAAGGATTTAAAAAGGAGATTTTAAAACAAATGGTAAATGTTGCGTTGAACAAAGATATGGTTGTGACCTTGATATATGTTGTCAAGATCACTGTTTTGAGTAACATCCAAAAGATTTTAGCTGTCGCTCATTGCTTATTAAAAAGTTATTAACAGAAAAAGTTTAAAAATTAAATGTAATTTTTCTGACACTATGTATATTTCAAAGAGAATAGCTTAACAGATTTAATTGTTTGTGTGTAGTAAATTGAACGCATGGGCGAGAGGGGCTATGACATGACCCTCCTCCTATACCCCTCCCATCATCCAACAAATATAATCTAACATAATCCAATGTCCCATGTCCGAAGCATTAATTTTTATTAATAATAAATCATCGCTGGAAGGTCGCCATCTTGGACGCTCTACGCAAAGACGTGCCTTTGAGTGCTTCCGCTAGACTTTATCAAATCAGCTCATTTCTGGACTACTACGAGATTTTCCAAAACCAGAAGCATCATCAACTGTATGAGTGTAGATGTCAAGGAAAAGCAGACAAAAACGGCCACACACGGATACATTAGCCCATCTCGACCGTTCTTCGGACCTGCCGGACGGTGAGCCTTTGTCTCAGATACATGGCTTCCCGCGCAAATTCTCTAGTTCCTTCCCATCTTCTCCTGTCGTCTAATCTTCTTTCTTATATCTCAAGCACAGTACTTGGAGGAAAGGCTACGACATTTCGCTCGCATCCGGGTTCTCCCAACAGCTGCATTATATTCTATCTCTTGATCGACTTATATACCATGGAGGTAGACGAAGAGACGATCTGCCTCCACGATACAAAAAGTATCTTAACGCGTAAAAACGCACGCGACACGTCCGAATCCAAAACTGCAATAGATTTGGATTAGGTTATATTAAATTAGGTTAGGTTAACGATGAGGTCTTGTTGGAAATTTCCACATAGGTTTGCAACTTTTCACGCGAAGCGATATTTACCCCCATCATCCAATAGTGCTTTCAGTGTGAGATTTATATTTGCAAAACTTAAAGTTGCGAATTCATGTGGAATTTTGCAAATATAGATTTCGTTTTGCACTGAAACCGGACAACAGGAGTAAATATACTAAATGGTTTTTAAACTTATTTATTTCTTAATAAAATTTTTTAATAAAAAATGAGTGACGGCTAAAATCTTTTGAAGGTCACTCAAGAGGATGACCTTGACAACATATGTCAAAGTCACAATCCTATTTCGTTGCTCCGTTCATATAAATTGTAATTGAGATTAATGTTGCGTACGCGACATTAATCTCAATTACAATTATAATTTTCCTATTTCGAGATAGGGAAAGGAAGAAGAAAAATATATATAATTGTGCATACAACAAACTTATTTCTTTATTCCCAAAATTAATGGAAATATTAACCATTTTGCCTGCTTCAATAAGTTTTGATAAATCAAAAAATTTTTCAATAATTAAAAATCCGAATTTTCTTCCATTAAAGATCATAAGCTTCAATTGGTCGCTTTCAAGATGGCATAAAGGTAAATAAATATGATTCGAACATATGTGTTGAAGTTAGGTTATGTTAATTTGTGATAGAGATATCAGCACAGCTTCTGAAAGTCTCTTGTGGGCCACAACCCATGCCAGATTTTCCATCTTCACATGTGCCCCAAGTGTTTCCGGTGCGATAGTGCCATCTGAATCAGAGATAAGACAATTAAATTTATTACTGAAATCATATTCTGTAATAATATATATTAAAAATAGGGTAAAAGGAAAAAATTTCGGACCTCTGAAATATCTCAGAAGTGGAATATAAAAAAAAATTTTTTAATTAAAAAGAGGGTACTTGATGGTGACCTTCACCTTGATCTAGAGGTCAGAGGTCATTTCAAAATTAACTTTATTTTTTTAATTGAACTATTATACTTTTTCTATATAAATCGATTCCTTATAATATTTATACATAAAAAGTTAAGGGTTGGATGATCAAAAAATGAAAGTTTATGAGATATTTTATACTTTAATGTGACATAATTTTATATATGAACTATAAAATATCTCGTAAAATATTCATTTTTTAATAACCTTATCTCAATATACTTTTATGCATGAAATAATGAGAAAAATCAATTGATGTAAAGAAAAGCACATAATTTTTTTTAAGAAAAATATATATAGCTGCTAATGGTAAATTACATATATTTTTCTTAAAAACTATTATATATTATACTATTAAATAATTATTATTTATTAGACATTATTGATTTATGTTTGTAATTCTAACCTGAGTACGCATTGTTTACATGTGACATCCTTCGGCAAAACCAATTTGACGTTATGATCATTTGATCCGTGAATACGAATAGGGTATTTGTAGCCACTACCGTCCGCTAATGAGAGAGGATACTGCTCGAAGCATTTGTCTGTTTCTAATTCCTTCTCTGTTGTCAATGGGCAAAGATTGAATTCAAAGTAACCCAAGTGACTGGCTGTGAGACGAACTATTACATCAATGGTAGAACCTGCTTTGTATCTGCGCATAGGAAAATTTTTATGTATATAGTACATTTTCATATAACGTAATGCAATGATCCTTTTAATTCACAAACAAACAAATAAATCGACTTCGAGTAATAAGAACCTTATATTTTACAACCATCTCTGCTGTTTTGTCCACTGAAACTATATATACACATGTTATATATATATACATGTATATATATAACATATTTTTAACTTCTTATTCTTTATTGCTTCGAGAATTTACCAAAGACATAAGGTGAAGATATAGATTAAAATGCATAATTATTTTTTGTTTGTATTAAAAATTCGATTCAAACCACAACTTAACCTAACCTAACCCAAAACTAATTCTAATAATAAATTATAATTCTGTATCAAAAATACAATATATTTACAGTTCAAATATAATTCTCTCTTGTGCTCTGACAAAATATATTTTTTACAAATAATTGCCTATACAAAATGTATATTAACCCCTTGAATATCAATGACGGAAAAATCCGTCAAAATAAACTGGCCAAAAGTGCATCATAAAAGAAAAATCCGCATATTTCATAACTGATTATAAGTTTGACATCGGATTTTAGAAATTGAAAATTGCGGATCCAGTATGGCGGATAATAATTCTTCAAAATTAGTATAGTTCAAAAGTTATTTTACTTTGCAAATACCGGTTCAATGTATCAGATAAAACATTTTTTCATACTGAAAATCTAAAATTAAACCGATAATTAGCAATACAGGGAATTGAAAAAATATTTCAGATTATTATCCGTCATTTTGAATTTTGGAATTCTGACCATGGATTTCTGATCAGTACCACAAAAACCCCGGAAAAGTGACTTACTTTATATTTCTAAGTTTATGTCATTGATAGCATCCTTGGCACACAAGCGTTTTTCTTGCCTGACACTCAAGGAGTTAATGAAAAAATCTTCAATTAATAAAAAACTAAACATGATTCTCTTTGAAACTAAAAGCTTATTGTTAATTTTTTTAATAATTTTAAATATTTTTCTACTTTCTATTTAAATTTACTAACATCTATTATAAGGCAAATGAAAAATACAGGATCGAAAGGGTCTGAATAGCTTAGTGGTAAGAGCAGTCACCCGGAAAGTGAAAGACGCGGGTTCGATTCCCGCTTCAGCGACTTTTCGGACCTATATTTTTCTCGCCTATTTTTCCATATGTAAGTTCGAGGTTAATTAATATATGGAATTTAGTAATCTCAAACCAAGAGATACAGTTCCGAAAAATTAATTTTTGCGCTTGGCTTTATTAGCCGATTTAAATATCATATTTATATTATAATTAATACTGAGAGCCGATAAAAATATTTCTTATTTGTTTTATTTGAATTGTTATAATTGTATTATTATATTTTACTCACTTTTGGACAATGACGCCGGTTCCATAAATGCCTCCATTTTCGTTTGGTCGTGGTCGGGGTAGAGCATAATTATCACCGCATTCTCCGCACTTGCCTCCATTTCGTTGATGTTGAATCTAATAAAGAAGTTTTTAATAAAAGTTCTTTGATATAATTAAGTTTATATATATTTTTTCTTTTTCTTATAAAAATATTGTGTCAAAATTACAATATATAAATTTAAATTGAAAATGGAAATATATATATAAAATCTGAATAATACAAATTAAAATTTCTACAATTAAATATAATTAAATACTGCAAATTTTGAAGAAAATCTAGTAATATTTTCAAAAACTAATGATAAACATAAAAATTATAAAACTTGTAATATTTTACTAGAAATGCATTATTAGCACACAAATATTATTTAACTAAAAGTTTAATACAAACATTGATAAAAATTATTAATAATAAATTATTGAACAATTAATGAAATTCGATATACACCTCCTTCTTCTCGGCCACAGAGCCAAACGCGATGTTATTGCGAAAATTAAGTAAGAAAATTAAGGAATCTGAAAATTTGTATCCTATGGTTGAGATCTCAAGAATTCTCCTTGTTCCTCTTTTAACTTCCCCTGTAAAGAAATAGGCGAGAAAAATATTGGTTCGAAAATTGACTAAATCGGGAATCGAACCCGAGACCTTCCGCTTGCCGGGCGAATGCTCTTCCATTTTCGCAATAACATCACGTTTGGCTCTGTGGCCGAGAAGAAGGAGATGTATATCGTGTTTTATATTAAAGAGCCGATCTAATATTCTTATTATTATTAATTAATGAAATTATTTATAATTTTTTAAAATTAAATTAAAAATGCAAAAAATACAGGAAAAATTATAAATTATAATTTTGTAATGTGTTATTCTTATATTTGATAACTTTTCTATTTTATTGATTTACATTGGAATTTTCTTTTAAATTAATTCTTCAATGTAATGAATATCTTTGAAATATAATGTTGTATATCGCAAAATTTAGTTTCTGCAATAAAATGAAAATATACTGAAATTTTGTATCTGTATCTATTAATATAAATATAACAATAATAATATACTAATAATAATATTTAATATTTATTTTAAATATTTTAAACGCGCGCGGTTTTGGAAAAAATATTTTGTATAAAAGTAGTAGTTATAGCGTTTTTAGGGGGATCTAGAAAATTGCCTCTACATTTTTCAAAGTCATTTAGAGATCAACACAGTTGTTTTAAACGAAATCACTCTTTTTTACATAAATTGATTCTTTGTAATATTAGGCATAATAAATTATAAGGCTAAAATGACCGAAAAATAAATCATTTACGAAATATTTTATATTTTAATTTGATATAATCTTACATGAACTATATACATATATACATATATGAAATATCTTGTAAAATATTCATTTTCCAATAATTATACTTTTATGCCGAAAATAGTAAAAGAAATCAATTGTATAAAAAAAAACATAATTTTCACATAAATTGATTCTTCGTAATATTAGGCATAATAAATTATAAGGCTAAAATGACCGAAAAATGAATTATTTATAAAATATATATATATATTTCATATTTTAGTTTGATATAATCTTACATGAACTATATACATATACATATATGAAATATCTTGTAAAATATTCATTTTCGGATAATTATACTTTTATGCCGGAAATAATAAAAGAAATCAATTGTATAAAGAAAACCCAATTGGTTTCAAGAAAAGTACGTAAATTGCCCAACAGCTGTAAAATTGTATCAAAATAAGGTAATAAAATATCTCGTCGCAACTATTCACTTTTTGGTCATTCTACTCTTATAACTTTTCATGTTGAATGTTGTGCAAAGAATCGTTTATATAGAAAAAAATTAAGACGATTTCATTTTAAAAAAATTAGATTAATCTTTAAACGACCTTGAAAAATATCACTCAAGGACAATTCTAGGCCACTAGAGTATATTATGTCTACCTCAAAACTCTGCAATTTTTACCTGTTCCTATTTTTTTTTAAACACCATGATATTCAAATATTTGCCTGTTAACATTAAAATAAATTATGTATTTTGATAACCGAATTTTCAATCCTATAATAAGGAACACTTTTTTTACCCTAAAAATTATGCTATTTTCAAACCACTGAAACTCGAAATAAAATTAAAAAATCATCGTAAATTAAAAATTAAAAAAGCATTTTGAAACCTAAAATTTCAATTTTAATGCGGAATCAATAGTTTAAAAAATGTTTTTCTTTCCATTTTATGTTTTAGAAAAATACACATTTTGTTCTTTAAAATTATGTATTTTTGACGCTCAGGATTTTTATAAAAAAATGTCTTTCGAATTCTACATTTTATTTCAGAAATGCAATTTCATAAACTACATTTTCCTTATAAAACGCTATTTTTTAAATTTTCCTACGATTTTTTTTTTTTACTGAGTTCCATAATTTTGAAAGTAAACCTATATTTTTTTGATACAATGTTGATCAGAATGTCAAAAATACATAATTTTAAGGAACAAAACAACGTGTCCCTTTTTAAAGCATAGAACAGGAAGATAAAAATAATTGTAAAAATTATAAAAACCACCGATTCTGCGTTATAGTTGAAATTTCAAGCTTCAAAATGCTTTTCACAAATTCAATTTCTTTTTTAAGTAATGTATATACATACACCGACTCCACCGCAGAAATGCTCGTTATCGGTATAGTTAGGCGGTACGGGAAAGCCCTTTCTCCAGGCACTGCTCCTGTTTATAGGATCCCACAGCATTCCGTGGCCATAAATTTCTTGCAAATTAATGACAACCACGAGTGTCACCGTAAATAATTTTACAAACATTTTTTTAAATTTTTTCTTTCTATCTTTAATATACGAAATATAAAGTCTTAACGAGAAATATAAAGTGAACGAATTTCGCTTTAATCTACTTTATATACCGATTCCATAAATCATCCACACCTAATAAAATAAGTTATTGATATTTAGGACTTATCTTATCAGGTATGACGTGCATTACATGAACAAACAAAAGACTTTGTTAAACTTTATTCAATACATCTTATTAATGTCACTTTACACCATTCTTGAAATTTATCGTAGAAACAGGACTGTAGTAATTTAAATTAAAAGAATGAGAGAGAATTACTTTTCCCGTTTTATTATTTTCTTAATACAAAAATTATGTAAATAAATAAATAAATAATTAGATATAAACGATAAAGAAAAATTTTTGCACGAATTAAGCTTTAAAAACATAAATAAATTACGTAACATTATTTGCAATATATCTTAATGAAAAAGTGAAGTATAAAAAAATAATTAGACTCAAGACAAATTTACAAGAACAACGACGTGTGTTTGTTTTTTGATAATTTCGAATTATGCCATACAATACCTTAATTTGTCAAGTGCTGATACTTCATAAGTAAAATGTGAGTTTGAATTTCAATAATGAGAAAGTTATAAACATACACAGTAGGATTACTTTCAGCTGTGTTTAATATGCAATAAATCATTTATTACTATCAGTATAAACAAATATTTAAAAAATTAATTTGATCTTTGAAATTCACGTTATATTCCAGATGTCTTATTCATCAAGTATTATTATATTTTAATTAATCTTTATAATAAAGCAGTAATAATGCCTTGACAACATCAATTAAATACATTAAGAGTTTTTTCATAAACATTAATAAATTGTGTTTGACATGTACACTCTCTAAATTTCTTGGAGTGAAAACTGAACAATCTCATTCCAAAAGAGTGGAATTTTACTCCAAAAGAGTGGAATCTTACTCTTTTGGAGTAAAATCACTCTTTTGGAATGAGATTGATCAGTTTTCACTCCAAGAAATTTAGATAGTATAATATACACATGTGAAAGCTTAAACATAAGATTAAAAATAAATTTATACAATATTAAATTATTAAAATATACTTTTAAATTTTTTGCTTAACAAATGTTGCATGAATATTTAGATATAATGTGTTAAATTACAAAATGCTTCACTTTATTGATATATATTTATAGGTTATAAGAAATTATCGAATTAAAAAATATTTTTATTTATATTTTTTTGAATAAAAAGAAATATAGTATATGTATATACAGGGTAGGCCATTTTAATCTTTCCACTAAAATTTCTCAAAATCCAAAAATTTAAGACAAAAATGTTTCAGATAAAAGTTGTATGGTTTCAAGGGGGACATGAGATGGTGTCATTGATTTGACCTTGAATAGCCATTTGAAGGTTACGTGAAGGTCAACTTCAATTTCTTAAATGGAACACTATATTTTTCTTGCATACTTTTGTAGCTGACTTCGAGATCTTTCCAAAACACTACAATAAAATATTTTTTCATGAAGTATTTTTCGAGTTATTAAGGCTGCAAATTTGCAGTATTTTGACATAAAATACAAAATATCTTGGGAAATATTTATTTTTCGATTATCATACCTTAATACTTTTATGCACAGAATAATGAGACGAATCAATTGAATTTTAATATTGTTTACTTGAAATAAATTATCTAACTGCTTTTGCAATTTTCATATTTTTTTTTAAAGGTAACTATGTGTTTTCTTTACATTAACTGATTCATCTCATTATTCTGTGCATAAAAGTATTAAGGTATGATAATCGAAAAATGAATATTTCCCAAGATATTTTGTATTTTATGTCAAAATACTGCAAATTTGCAGCCTTAATAACTCGAAAAATACTTCATGAAAAAATATTTTATTGTAGTGTTTTGGAAAGATCTCGAAGTCAGCTACAAAAGTATGCAAGAAAAAATATAGTGTTCCATTTAAGAAATTGAAATTGACCTTCACGTAACCTTCAAATGGCTATTCAAGGTCAAATCAATGACACCATCTCATGTCCCCCTTGAAACCATACAACTTTTATCTGAAACATTTTTGTCTTAAATTTTTGGATTTTGAGAAATTTTAGTGGAAAGATTAAAATGGCCTACCCTGTATTAATAACAATTAGATAACAAAATAAATATTTTTAATTTAATGTTTATAATTTATTTACATTATTTGCTGTTTTCTGTTTATAATAAGATAATAAGATGTTTATAATAACTACCCTCGACAAAAAATAAATTTTTAATAAATTTGTAAATAAAATTTGTATATAAATCTTATAAACGGTGTAATTAAAAAAAAATTAATTTTTTAACGAAAAATACAGTTTCAAAAATCCAGTAAACATTATTCCACAATAAAAGTTATTATTTATAAGAAAATGATAATTGAATCTTAATAATAATTTGCAATAAATAAATTTATGTAATAAATTAATGTAATAAATTCATTCATTCATTCATTCATTGCTTTATTTTTCCCCTTGAGGATTAAAGGCGCTTTTAAGGAGCGTACCCAAACCTTACATACCTCTTACAAAATTAACTTACAACTACTCTTATATCTAACTTACAATTATCTTAATTTTAACTTAATCTACTTATCTAACTAAATAAGAGAGAGAAAGAGTCGTCCCTATCTATTATCTCGCTTCGCCTCGGCTTCCAGTTCCCCATACATTCCCCACCACCTCATACATACTTCCACTCATTCTCCTCATATTTCCTTTCTCCTCTACCCCTCTCTCCTCTTCTCCTCCCGTTCTCCCCTCCTCCCTCTTTTTCTCTAATTCTCTCATCCATCCTTCCCCTTCTCCTCCTTCCTGTAGTATTTCCTTCATTCTTTCCACCAGTTTCCCTTATTCCCTCTCCTCCACATTCTCCTACTACATGTTCCCATGTTTCATCTTCCATCCTTTTTACATAGCCTACATCTTCTTTTCTCCTCCTCTTCCCAGTATCTCGCCCCTCTCATCTCATTGTTCATTCTAAACCTCACTATCCTTCTCCATCTACTTCCCCCCATCCCTTTCTCAAATATTCCGGCAATCCCTCCTCCTTCCATTCTCCATACCATCTATTATATCTCGACTCTCTTATCCTCTCCCATCTTTCCTCCTTTTGCATTTCCTTGTCCTGCTCCCATCCCTCGTATACTTCCTCTCCCCTTCCTCTTTTTTCCTCCATCTCCCTTCCTTCTATTCCTCTTTCTTCAAAGAATTTTGCCCTCTCTTCCTCCCATACTGTTCTCTCTTTTCCTCCTCTTACCCCCTCTTTCATATCCTCATAGCATTTCCCTCGCTAACCTTCCTCCCCTTCCTTCTTCCAATTTCTTCTCATATCCTACTGCTCTTCTTCCTGCTCTTATCCTAAATTTATCCTTTCCTATCTCTTCTCTTATCATATACCCCGGCGTACACCAGTCCACTCCTAACGTCCACCTGATCCATCTTTCCTGCATTGCCTCTACCTCTCTCCTCTCCTTCCACCCCCATATTTCCGCCCCATATTCCATCACCGTTCCCACCAACCTTTCCATTAACCATGTTCTTTTCATCCAGTCTCCTGCAAATCTTCTTTTCCCCATTCCCCATATCTGTCTTATCACCGCTCCTGCCTTCCTTACTCTGTCCTTTACCTGCGCATCCTGTCCCCCATTCCTTTGCAGCTTATATCCTAAATACGTGAATTCTTTCACTTTCTCTAATCTTTTCTCTTTCCACCTCCATTCCACTTTCTTCATTCTTCCTCCTCCCTTTTTGAACCTCATTACTTTTGTCTTCTCCACATTCACCTCTAACCTTTTCTTCTCCATATAATTTTCCATTTTCCCTAACATGTGTATCATCCCTTCCTCATCCTCTGCCAACAGCACCATGTCATCTGCATATGCCAAGCAATGTACTTTTTCCCCTCCCAGTTTCACCCCTCCCCAACCTCCTTTTCTCAGCACTTCCTCCACATCCGCTACCAACAAATTAAATAAGTGTGGGCATTGGACAACCTTGCCTCACTTCCCTTGCCGTCCAGAAGCTTTCTCCCTCCTCCATCCCCACCCTTACTTTACTCCTCGTTTGTCTATACACCTCCTCTATCCTATTCCTTAATCCCTCTTTTACCCCCTACTTTCTCATTGCCTCCATTAGCACCTCCCTATCCACTGAGTCAAACGTCGCCTTCAGATCCATGAAGGCCGCTACTACCTTACCTTCCTACCTATTCACTTTTTTATTCACCAGGTAGTTTAGTACATAGATACTATCTATTACCCCCATTCCCTTCCTAAAACCTGTTTGACTCTCCGGTATCATATTCTCCTTTTCCATTTCCTCCTTTAATCTTTCTGTTAAAATCCCCACGTATATCTTAAAAAAAGTAAAAAAGGCGACCAGTTAAGGGCACGCCATTAACAAAAATTATTTATTGCAAACCCATGTAGAATCCTATGAAAATTAATCATTGCAAACCCATGTAGAATCCTAGGCAAAATTAACCATTGCAAACCCATGTAGAATCGTACCCATTGCAAACCTATGTGGAATCCTATGAAAAATTAACCATTGCAAACCCATGTAGAATTGTATTAAAAATTATCCATTGCAAACTTATGTAGAATCCTACATTGCAAACCCATGTACAATAGAATTGTATGAAAAATTATCGATTATAAACCCATGTACAATCGTAACAAAAGTAATGAAATAAAAAAAAAATTGCGACAAGTAAAAGTAGAAACTTGTACCAGTGAAAAATTAAAGTTGCAGACATATATATAGTCGTATAATGAATCAGTAAAAATTTAAATTTGCAAATGTAGAATCGTACCATAAAAAAACTTATCTTTAAAAAAAAAAGATAAACAAGATGCCAAGTCCATTAATATAAAATAAAAAGAAATAAAAAAATTGTAGTTAAAAAAACTGGGCGCGCTGCTAAATAATATTCTAATGATATTAAAATTAAATTGTTATTTTTAAACTCATTGCAGTTAAAATATGTTTTGTGTTTAAATTAATTAATGTTACTTTAAGGTGCTAAATAATATTCTAATGATATTAAAATTAAATTGTTATTTTTAAACTCATTGCAGTTAAAATATGTTTTGTGTTTAAATTAATTAATGTTACTTTAAGGTGCATTGTAATTTTGAAACTTAGCAGCGCGCCCAGTTTTTTTAACTACAATTTTTTTATTTCTTTTTATTTTATATTAATGGACTTGGCATCTTGTTTATCTTTTTTTTTTAAAGATAAGTTTTTTTATGGTACGATTCTACATTTGCAAATTTAAATTTTTACTGATTCATTATACGACTATATATATGTCTGCAACTTTAATTTTCCACTGGTACAAGTTTCTACTTTTACTTGTCGCAATTTTTTTTTTATTTCATTACTTTTGTTACGATTGTACATGGGTTTATAATCGATAATTTTTCATACAATTCTATTGTACATGGGTTTGCAATGTAGGATTCTACATAAGTTTGCAATGGATAATTTTTAATACAATTCTACATGGGTTTGCAATGGTTAATTTTTCATAGGATTCTACATGGGTTTGCAATGGTTAATTTTTCATAGGATTCCACATAGGTTTGCAATGGGTACGATTCTACATGGGTTTGCAATGGTTAATTTTGCCTAGGATTCTACATGGGTTTGCAATAGGATAGGATTCTACATGGGTTTGCAATGGATAATTTTTGTTAATGGCGTGCCCTTAACTGGTCGCCTTTTTTTACCTTTTTTTAAAGGTGAGTTTTTAGAGATTATATCATTCATTTTTGTATATGATAAGCATCTTTACATAAATAAGCAAAGAACCCGCCACCACCCCCGTCATATTTCAAAATACGATGGTCCTCTTTGCTTATTATAGATAAAAATAATTATCTTGTATTTTAAGTAAAAAATATTTTTTTGCACTTCACGAATAATGCAGAATGTAAAGCGTTGTCATGAAATTGCTAATATATTACGAAATCTTTTTTTATATAGGACTGATTAAAATACAATATTAAATGATTAAATAGTAATAGTCATAAACTTGATATATAAAAATCTATTTAGGAAGAATTTTATAACTACTTTATTTTATATCGAATTGATATTATTTATTACCTATTTTTTGTAAAAATATTATATAAACATTTTTAGCACCTCTAGGCCACTGTCTCTTTTTTACTTCTGCATCATCTATTTCGATCCAAATATTAGATAGTCCTTCTCTACATATGCTTACATAATGACCTTCATCGGTGCACGAACTATCATAAAGTATAGCACTCATCGTCTTGTACAATTGTCCCGCTATTAATACTTTAGTTGTTGGAACAGCACATAAATTAAATTTGTTTTCTGCTTTTATTAATTTACCATCTTGTGCTAAAAATAGTATTAAACGAATAACAATTATTTCTCTTGTTAATGTTACTTCATTTTTTAATATTTGATCAGTTCCAGTACAATATTCACATGATTCGTTGTGTAAGTGAAACCAATGTGAAAATGTAGAATTTAATAATTCATTAAATTACAACTTTTTTTCTTTAAATTATCAAGGGAAATTGAAATAGCAATATTATTTTCAACAATAGTTTTTGTATTACCACATGTTTTGCATCGCTTGGTAGAAGTTACTTGATGTTGTATCAAATTTGTAATGCAATCATATTTTTCGCAAAGTGCCGTAAGAAAATCGTACGCGTTTTGTCTTACCATACTCGAAAAATATTCTCCTAAACATTGCCGTATTGCATATGTATTTAGATTACGCATTCCATTTTCATATCGATGCATTAATATACGTAAAACGTCTGTTTTATCGCAATTAATCAACTGCTGCCTAATAATATTTAAATGTAATAAACATTGCAATACTGTATTTGCATAACATGAAATCTTGTCTGTATTCTGAAAACCACGTATGATCCAAGCAGTGCTTTGAATTCTTTTATTTGAAACCGTATGTTGAATTTTTCGATCTGAATTTGATTTTTGAACAGAAGTAACTATTTTTGGTAACGCCCATGGAACATCTTTTACTTTACGACAACGTTCTTTTGACACAGCAATCATTTCTGCTTTCGGATTGTATATCTGTTTTAAACGATTATATTCAATAATAACTTTTTCGTTAGCTATTACTGCTGAAGGATCAAAGTTTATTAAATGCACTCCTTCTAGAGATGTTACTCGCGACAAGGCAACATAAATTTGACCACAACTAAATACAGAGTTGCCAATATCCATAACAACACTTTGCAAACTTAATCCTTGGCTTTTATGAATAGTGATGCCATAACTTAAAGATAATGGAAATTGTTTTCGAATCACATACGCTCTATCCAATACCTGAAATTTAGCCGTTACTCTTTCAATTTCATATTCTAAACCTGATGGTAAAAGAAGTTTAATCTTTTCTACGTCATCAGTAGATGTTTCTCGTACAATTGAAATTACTTTAGCAATTGTACCGTTTACAAGACCCAAACTGGCATCGATGTTACGCCGAATCATAACTTTTGCTCCAATTTTAATTGTAATTTGTTTTGAAAGTCCAGCTGTTCGAGAACTATCATCATCGTTATTTGACAATACTTTTAATACTTTCTTTTTTACATATGATGTACAATCAATCGTATCTTCAGCAATTAATAATATTTCTTTGGAAGTAATGCGACTTAACATTGCATTATTAAGGACATCACACATATTACAAGTAGGAAATAAACAAACAGTGTCCGATGATAAACTGTTAATAAAATCACATAATTCATTTAATCTAGATTCGAAAGAATCAGCTTTGAAAGATATTTTTCTACTCTCTAGAATTTTACAATCAGATTTTGTCACTAAACCAATACGAATTCGCGACAATAATTCACGGTATGAATTATCTCCTTGCTGACGCATATTGATTATCAATTCATCATATTCAAATAATGTAATCCATAAATTAACAGCATTTAAAGAACCAAGATAATTAACAATTTTTTGATCGGATAAATGTGTAAAGATAAGATCTTCGCGTACAGGAGGCAATTGAAGCAAGTCTCCGAATAAAAGAATATGCTTTCGACCAAACCAACCATCATCGCAATCACTAGTATCAAATATCTCAGACAATCGAAGATGAATATATATTAAAGTCAAATTAGATATCATTGACACTTCATCAATTACGAAAAAAATAACATCTTTAAGATCTGTTCGTAAAACTTTTAATACACAATCAGATAATTGTTTATACTTAGGAGTTTGACCATGTTCAACGGGTAATTGAAGCAATCTATGAACTGTCAAACCATCTATATTAAATGCTGCTATACCAGTAGGTGCTGTTACAGCAGTATCTTTGTTGAGATTTTGTTTTATCCAGCATTTAATAGTCTTGATTAAGAAACTTTTTCCAGTACCACCTTCTCCGCTAACATATAATCGTAATATTGATTTATCGGACTCTACAGCATTGGTAACTTTATCAAATACTCGTTTTTGATCCGTATTTAATTTTACTATCATGTCAGATACATCAATTTCTTGAATTGCTCTATCACCAAGATCTTTAAAATCTTGCATTGCTTCACCAGCCTCTATATTTTGAATACCTATTGCATTTTCAGGATCATCCTGAGACTGCTCTTTTTGCAAATCGTCATCTAAGCATTGCTGAACTAACTGTTTTGCAGTTTCAAATGCTTTTTGCAATTCTTCTAATCTTTCATGATATTGCAATGCTTCTTTAAGATGCAGTTTTACTTTGTGAAACGATTCGGTATAAGTATCGCATTCATTTTTAAGATCCTCTAATTTTCGCCATGGTTTAAACATAAGCAATAACGCAAAGAAATAATTTTCCGGCTGTGTATTAACATTATATCTAAAATGATTAATAAGATATCCGCGCTGTCGCCGTTTAAGATAACAACCATTACCTATTTTATAATATTCAATAAACTTATTTTTCGGTTTGATCTTTGAGATATCGTACCACTGTGCAAATTCATAAAGAGACGTATTTTCTAATTCGTTTGGTCTATGTGGATAATGATCATCTGTCAAAGATTGATAAAATATATCTGTAGATTCAGGATCAAGAGCTTCAATTTCTTTACGACTTTTTAATTTTTTATATCGTATTTGATTAACATCTAACCATCTGATGGTTGTATTTCGATCAGTTCCATACAAAGGAATACCTAACAATGTATCAGCAGCTTCGAGAGCTCCACATTCTCTATTATTCGTAAATCGCAAAGCAATATTCCAAAGATGACTCGCTAATGATTTGTTTTTGTTATCCTTACTATCAAGAATATTCTCAGATAATTCACTTTTTCCCGCTTTATTCATATATTTAGTAACATACCAGGTTAGCAGCGATGATTTTTCACCAATAAATTGTATATCCATATTACCTTCCCATGCAGTAAGAAGAACAGGATTATAGTCATTTATATTACCTTCATTATCCGTTCGAGGAAGATCGTAAAGTCTACTTTTATGTTTCAATTGTTTTCTACCGGCTATCGAAGTTGCCACATCCCTGATATTCAAAGTTTCAGTAACGGGACGAGGAAATCCAAAACGACATCGACGAATAACTTTACGTCCTACTTTTTTAGAACGAAGACAATAATCATTTGTATATGTCGCTGATGCGTATCAACACGTCTGTACAACAATAGCGAAATATTTTGATCCGGTATTGTGCAGCTTATATGTTGTGAAATAAATTTTGAAACTTCCTCAATAGTAGATTCACCGAAAATTGGTGCATTTTTAATCCAAATTAATAAGTGAAAATGTTGTATACCTCTACCTTGATATTCTCGTCGCCAGAAATAGTGCGTTACTTCTCCAATTGGATGATCTTTAGACCTAATAAAGTCAAGCATTGCCCGAAACTTATTATCGAGAAACCTGGATGTTGATACTGGATCTCTAACAACGAGTGCGCTAACGCTTAAGGAAGCGTCATGCCATTCATTTACTTCACGAATATATTCACCTAAATCTTCCCACAACCACTCACTTGGACTGAGTGTTAAAAACCATGTCGCAGGTCCATAATGCTGCGTCATACAATTTAAATCGTTTCTCGGTTTACACCAATATTGCTCCGTATTTCGAAGTGTGGCAAATATTGTACTCAAATTAGATTCCAACAATTCTTTCGACATTGCGTCTAGGTATTCTGCGGCTGTATAACGAAGTCGCGGATTAGTTACATTCATTTTATGAAAAATTCCACGACTTAATTGACGCATATTTGCATCGTTCAATAAATAAAATACATATTGTAGATTTAATCTATACTGTGGATGTTTAGATGTCAAACGACATTTAATAAATTCATGATCATGAAGTTTAACTTGTCTAATCTCACGTTGTCCATTAATACCAGAAGAATATAAATCTGGAAAACACATTAAATCTAAATGTTGCTCACGATTGTTCAGAGGCAAATCCTGAATTTTTAACATTTGATATAAAGCTGTCGCAGTTTTATTTGCTTTCTTTTCATATAAGGGATAGATGGTATATTGTTCGTAATAGCCATCATTTTCAGCATTAGTCACTTGAGTCAACATTGCTTTCCGTTGACCTTCTAACATATCATTTTTTATCTCTTCTATCGGATCATTTAATAATTCAGTCTCATCATCAGCTACTTCTGCATTACCTTCTGTCTCATTTAATAATTCAGTCTCATCATCAGCTACTTCTACATTATCTTCTGTCTCATTTAATAATTCAGTCTCATCATCAGCTATTTCTGCATTAACTTCTGTCTCATCTTCTATTTAAAATTCTGAATTTTTTAATTTTGGTAAACGTAAATCATTGTAATCATTTGGCAATATAATATGAGAATATAAAGTATTGTTGCGCTTTAACCACGTTAAAGCGTCAAATATTTTTTTAACATCAACTACCTCTTCCCAAATAATCTTTGATTTTGTCGGGATACCTCTAACTAATATATATAACTCATGATTAATATTTATTGGATCAGTATTAGAACATAATTTATTCAATGTCTCCTGTAACGGAAGTGGTAAATGAAATGTTCTACCTTTAACTTTTGATACCATTTGTCTTTGAGGCAACTTTTTATTAATAACAGTTCCCATTTTAAGGACAGTTTGAAACGCTTTAGCTCTCTGTATAAGAATTTTTTCGAATGTATTAAGAGATGATATTACTTCAGGCACCTGATTTGTAAATAGATTATTTAAGACGCAGTATGCAGGCATTAAACCTTTACGAAATTTGCCTGCACAATAATTACATATATATTGCGCATCAACTTTTTGTTGTTGTACATACGTCATTAAATCCTTCAAAATTTTAACATGTACTTGTGTCTGAAGACTATTGACTTTAGAAACACTTTTTTTATAACACAATCTCTCGCATGATACGCAAACATGTCGTGGTGTGTCCACAGAGCGTTCAGTCAATGCTTTAAATGCTAAACGATATTTAAACATAATATCATCATCATTCAAAATTGTATCAATCCGTTGATGTCTGTACATATCTACTTTCTCCTGTGCAGAAGTCACAATTTCATTCAAAGTATTCATATCAGCATTATTTAAAGCATCATCTAGATTTTCCAACTTTCGATAAAAATATGTAAGTTGATAAATTAAACGCTTCATATATCTTACTTTTGGAAAATGAGGCGATAATAATTGAACTGGAAGAAACCTTCCTTCGCAAAGTGTTATATCAATATAACAGCTACGCGTATGACCCAATTTCTCATTTGAAATTTTCATTGTACATTTATGAATATTTTGCATAAGTTTTGGTACATTTTTTAAAGTACATGTATTTACGGTTTCGAGAAACTTCTGATAACGATCAATTAAAAGCGGATCGTTAATTTTACAGCTTGCAGTATTACACATCAGTTTTGGTTCATTGTTTAAGGTACATGTATTTATGGTTTTAAGAGACTTCTGAGAACGGTCAATTAAAAGCCGATTGTTAGTTTTATAGTCTGAAATATTACACGATCAAGATTTTTTAGCTTGTTCTGTTGTTAATGGTAATATGTTTACTACTTTTCCTTTTACATTCATTATCAAAGGTTCCAATGGATTTACATCATGACGATATGTAGACTCAATAAAATAATTTTCAGATGAGGCTGTATGTCTAGATTCGCCACATAGTGCAGTTAATTTGTCTTCGATTGTAGAACAATCTGCGACAAGAGTCAAATACACTTCTGATTTCTTTTTAATCAAACTTAACATTTTGTATATATTGCGAATATAATTTTTCCTAATACACATGCACCAACGTACAATTTTTTCAGCTTTCAATCGTTTCTCAATATAACCTTTAATATTGATTTTTTTAATAATATTTTTTATAAATATTTCTGAACAATTACAAAGTTTTATGGTATTCTTCGACCAGAATTGTTTATACTTTTTAGTAATATTTTTAGCAATATTGCAAGTTTTCATTTTAAATGTAGATTTTGTTTTGATTTTTTGTCTTTTTGTCTGATAATATCGCTTATTATAAAGCCATTTGCGATTAGGATCCAATCTTTTTTGTCTATCTCGTTCATACTCAAAGTTTTCCGAATAACGCATACGCTTTTGTGCGCGTTTCTTTTGTAAATCTTGTTCATATCGATATTGATCTTTAATGCGTTCATCTTCTAAGTTCCATTGATATCGATTACGCTTTTTAGCGCGATTGTATTCTAAATTTTGTTTATAACGATTACACTGTTTAGCGCGATTATCTTTTAAATTTCGTCTATATCGATTACGCTGTTTAGCGCGATTGTCTTCTATATTTTGTTTATAACGATCACGTCGTTTAGCGCGTCTATCTTCTAAGCTCTGTTTATACAGATCGTGCTGTTCAATGCAATTATTCTTGGAATTTTGCTCATATAAATCATGTTGTTTAGCCTGATTTTGTTCTAAATCTTGTGAATAGTGTGCACGTTTATTTACACAATGATTTTCCAAGTCATGCTGCTTAGTGTCTTCATAAATATCATTGTTTGTTTTCATTAAATTCTTTGAATTATTTTCTGTTAATTGAAATTGATTATTATTTAATTCTTTTTCAAGTTGGTAAATATGACGTTGCTCTTCTAACCGATTCAAATATGGTCGTTCCGTCTCACATTGACGTATAGTACGTTTACGAGATGCTTCAATCTCTCTTGCTTTTATTACTGCTAATGGAAGCACCTTTTGAAGAGCATATTGTTGATTTTGTGGAAAATGCTCAATAACATTAGATTCAAAAATCTTAATTAAATGCAAACGCATTAAACTATGATCATATTTTATTTTTTCGGGTTTAATATTGAATAACAATGAAATTGCAAAGGCTATTGCAAAAACTCCGCAATCGCTACTATTTGGTTGGTATTGTACAGTAGGAAATTGGATAGAATTTTTTTCGAAGTTATATGTTGGAAATAATCTTTTCAAGAATTGTTCATGATGTCTATGCAATTTTTTCTTATTTAATGAATCATAAATAAATATATTTTTTGTATCGTAGTAACTGCACACCCAATGTCCATCTGATGAACCTGACGAACTATGTAATATTTATATATGTTTTTTATCAATTGGCATAGGCTGAATCGTATCAGGAAGTTGTAATCGCCATGTTTCGACAGGTCTATAATCTGAAAAATTTTGTAATAAATAATCAAAATGTTCCATATGTTTATCAGTTAACCATTCACCTCGAACAATTATATTTTTATCCTCAGGAGATAAAATTCTATATCTTTTTGTCTGTATAGACATTTTTATTATTTATATATATTTTTTTGAAATACGTAATAATTTATCAGCGCAAAGCAGCAACTCTTTATCGGTGCAAAGCAGCCACTCTTTATAGGCGCACAGCAGCCTTGTATGAGCGCACAGCAGCCACTTTTTATAGGCGCACAGCAGCCACTCTTTATAGGCCCACAGCAGCCACTCTTTATAAGCGCACAGCAGCCACTTTTTTTTAGGCGCACAGCAGCTTTGTACGGGCGCACAGCAGCCGTTTCTTTTACAAACACAACAGGCGCACAGCAGCCTTATAATTTTTTTC